CGGTTTTATTTGCCATATCAAGACCGATTATCTGACATGTCACCCGCGCAATTTGTTGCAGCCATCATTGCCCAGGATGGGCATGAAGTTGAAATGGAGGACGAAGACGTCCAATTGAGCGAAATGATTGATGGCCAAGAGGTGCAACCCATAGGCCCAAAGCAGCTACGGCAACCAGAAACCCCGTCCAACGAGCAACGTGCAAGACACAACCTCACCCATGCAGACTTTGCTGCGTGGTGTCCCCACTGTGTTGCTGGCAAAGCCCCCGAAGACAAACACATCCGAAGAGACAAGCATGAAGATGCGGAAATCTCAACAATCCAATTGGATTATCAGTTCTTCAGTCGAGACGGCCAACTCGGTGAAGAGGAAAGTTGAGCCGCAACAGCCCTCACTGGAACTGACACGTCTTCAGGGTATCCATTCATGATTTTTGTGCCCCGCAAAGGTGTTCACACTTACGTCGTGAAAGCGCTCATGGTTTGGATCAACCGTCTAGGGTACAAGAAGGTAATTTTGCAACATGATTCGGAAGAAGCTTTGCGAACAGTTGTGGAACAAGTCCAGCAAAAGATGGGACCCGATAAAGTGCAAGTGCGTGCCAGCCCTCCGTACAGCCACCAAAGCCAAGGAGGTGCTGAGAACACAAATCGTCTCATGGCAGGAATGCTGCGAACATGGTTGAGTGCACTGCGGGAGAAATACCCCGATCCAGAACAGCCCATTGACATCAATCATGTCATTGTCCCATGGTTGTGTCGTTGGATAGCTTTTGTTTGGGCCAGGTACCATGTCAAGCATGATAACATGACTGCATTCAAAATCGTCACTGGTAGGGAGTACGCATCACCAAAAAAACTTGGTGCCCGGCGCAGGTGTGGTGCCAGGGTTTGAACTTGTTAGCGTGCATACGGCATATTCAGAAAGTTTTCAAGAAACGGAAACAGAAACCCTCCCATTGGTCCACCGCCAGTGGCCTCAACTTGATTGATCTGACTCATGTTGATTTTTCCCCATGCCTGCGGCATAGGGTTCTAGCGGCCCCGTTTCGCACTTCCATTCGCAAGGGGCACGGCGAAGGGGGCACGGCGATTTCTTCACAGACTTTTGAACAGCGCCCTCGTACATCACGCCATGGCAAATGCAGGGCAAGTACTTGCTCGGTGTTTTGCTCAGTTTTTGGTTTGGGGTCCTGAAGGATTCAGCTTTGTGCACTGCCTGAAACATTTGGATGTGTTTCTTCGCGTTTTTGTCAGGACAATCTTTGGTTGTTTGCTGGCGACCTCCCTTATCCCAGTGACTTGTCGGAACTTTGGAACTTTGGGATTCGTCATTTGGAAGGCACTTTTGCAGCCAGGCCTGGGTGTTGTGCCTGCTTCTGAAGTTGGTGTTGTCGTGCTTGCCGGTGGAGAGGCCAGGCAGTGGTGAGCGGTGCTACAGTGAAGCATTGATGGATGGTCATTTTGCACCAAAATCACCAATTGATTCAATGATGCCTCCACCGGTGTGGACTTTTCCTACGCGGTTTGCCAGATTTCAATGGATCCGAGGCGTGCTGCCTTTGAAAGGTGCTTCGGTCGCATGCTCATCGCTGCTGCCCAAGGGGTTTTGTTGTGGAGTGGGTGTGGTGGGAATGCACAAGGGCAGCGAAATAGCTGCATGGAAAATTTGGGGTTGACTCAGGTCATTTTAGTAGTGCTTTGGCGGATGCGGCTTTTCAGCATATTGAGATGATGTCTGCGGAACTGCGGAACTGTGTGCCGAATCAACGGCTCATTGAATGCCTTTGCTTGTTTTAAGGGTGTTTACGCTTTGTGCATGGATCCGGGTGGAAGTGTTTCAGCAAGAAGTGCCGGGAACTTGGCTGACCAGGATGAGATGTTGGCAGAGTCTTCATTGTCAACCTAGGCCTTTTCTCGGTGCACCAGGGAAACCAGCTGTGTTAGTGTGAGCGCGGCTTGGTTGGGGCCCACAAGTGCCAGCAGAATCTTTATATAGAGAGTGTGGTGGTGCATGATGATCGAAACCAATATTTCACGATAGCGTTTGATGTTTTACTTGGGCATCTTTGGTTGGCAGGATGAACCACACGTGTTTTCTTGACGCCGTGCCAAAAACTCAGCTGCTGGATGTCTCTAAAACCCACGGGCACGCAGGTTTCAGTAAGTTTTAGGCATTACAAATGTATTGGGTTTTAGCTTTGCATGACTTGGAACATTTGCCGTTGTGGCGGCTGCTGCCAGTTGGAAACAATTTGTTTGAATTTCCTGTTTGTATGCATTAGGCTGGCCACCTCTTTAGCACCCTTGAACCGCAGCTCGGATGTGCGAGTGCTTGTGGCGAACTATGTGCGGAGCCCCAAGCAGGAACATGGCAGAAGGCTAAGCCCCTCCAGCAGACTGAGCCACGGGCTTTAGGTTGGCGTGATGGCTGGCTGTTCTTCACAGGATCCAGAAACCGAGAAAGACGGGGGTGGCATGGGCAGGTCTTCAAGATTCCGTTGCTTGGAACCGTAATGCGGGCCAGCTACTGAGATGTCCCAATTTCAGGTTTCCAGTCTTCAACTCATGCTCAGTTTGAAGGTCATGGGCCTCCCAGAGGTTCCTTTCAAAGCATGTGCAGGCGTGCTAAGTGTGCTGTGCAAACTTGTCCAGTAGTGGAAAGACATCCCACGATGATTGAGGGGGAGGCGAGACTTCGAATATGACCGTGGAGAAGAACCTCATGGAAGAGAGGTGTCTTTTTCTGCGGCTGTTACGGCTGCGCGACGCGTTTTTTTTAAAACATAATTTTGTGTGATTCTAGCAAATTTTGCGTGATTCTAGCATGACAAAGGATGACCTACCCTTGGGGCGGTGTGCATGACAAGACTTGTTCGCAACAGAAACCTCAAGCAATCATAGCTCCCATTTGAGGAACTCACCTTTATTCTTAGCATGCGTGCAACAAGAAGAGCAAGACCTTTCAGGTGCACATAAGTGACAAGTATCTTAGAGGAGTTGCACTATCAAAACGAACAGGAAAACATGTGAGGCTGCAGACGGGGGGTTTTCCGGACGAAAACGACGCAAGCAAACGCGATACGAGTCAAAGACGTGGAGCCTGCCGGTGTTTCTGGTCGGTAAAGTGTGCAAGCTTTGATGCATTGAAAAATGTGCGAAGAAAAACATAGGGAAACATTTTTTGATCAAATTCGCGTCAAGATTTGCAAGTTGAACAACATAGATAAACCTTGATTTTGAAAAAATATGTTTTCATCTCCCACACCAACTCACGAACGATCCGTCGCCCCTCGATAGCCCTTCCACTATGTGGGGTGCCAGAGGTCTTGTATGTACGACAACATGTAGGAATGTACAACACGTGCAGAGATCATACACACATGCACCGGATTAAGACACGGTGTATGGTGATGACGGAAATTAATTAACACATCATCGAGCGAAGGCATCTAATTTGGCACATCAAGAGATTGAAGTGACTTGTTTTGACGAATACATTTTTTGATTCTCTGGTAGAGGTTATGACGTTTGTCACAAGAGATATCATTGTACGAAGGATTCGGACACGGGTTCGCACAAGGAATGATGGACGGCACAACGCGAACATTTAATGGATATGACTGATTAGGCAAAGAAGCATATGCTTGCACATTTTGCATGAGCAAATTCTGCATGCGGCAAAAAGGGTTAAGCCGAAATACCCCCAATCAAACTTCGATGGAACCCAAGGCGAATCAGGGAGCTAGCATTGGTCTTCTTGTATCGTGGGAAAAAAAGAACACTGCAGGGAGTTCTCCAGATATCGGACTACAGAGCGCAAAACCCCCGCCTGATGCCACAAGCATCTTTTAGCGTCTGGCTGAATTTTTGCTTCAGAAGAATTAAATGCATATGGGCGTGGTAACTTTTGAGCCGTATGATATATCCAAATCGGGAGGCAGGTGCCGGTGAAAAGGGCATAATACAATGCAAGTTCATACCATGTTATGCCAAAATCCCCGGATGCTACGGGAGCCTCGGATGGTCGCCATCGAAACGTCTGGAACATTTGCCATACTTTATAAGCCACACCTGCACCAACCGGGCAACCTTGTGCGACTATCTCAGGTAATTCAACGTCTACAGACCAAAAACTAGGACCGACATCCCATTGACGCAGAACTGATTGAAAGTTGGCATATGCATCCAAGGTATTATGCTGACGCTCCGAAGCAGCATTTTTCTCTTTTTCAACTTTCAGTTTGGAGTGGAGCATATTTAAATCCGCAAGGTATTGATAAATCAACAGCAGGGCATCTGTTTGATTTGACGAATGTCGGAAAACAGCCTCAGCTGTGTCTTGAAAATGAGGAAGATCAATTTGGTTAATTTTCTTGGCGACTTGATCAGCTAAATTATTACCCAAAATTGTGTATAGATCGCAAAGATCGACCGCTTCCTCTAAACTACGGTGTGATTTTACCTTGTAGATTTGGAAAAACAGTGGATTCCAACATTGCTGAAGCTGATGGATGAGGTTGACATGGGATTTCTGAAAGGTCTTGGGGTCCAGTGTATTTGATGCAATCGCCTCAACCAGGCGCAGTGCATAATCGGAATCAGTGTGAATTGACATAAATTGATTAGGACGGAATTCGGCAAAATGTCGTGCCAACCATGCAATTGCTCCAAGTTCTCCTCGATTAATGGACTGAGTTCCTGTCACATGTGAACTTTGCGTAACTACAAAGTCATTCACCGATGGGTCTTGGGAGTTGGAATTAACATGTTGAACGATTGCCCACGCGGCACGACAGCAGTTTTGGAATTTGGGACGGTCACAACTCCCATCAGTGTAGAAAACGTGATGGGGTAATGACACAATATTTGGGACATCAAGAAAGGGTCCTTGGCGGGCATATTTAAGGAGGTTGTAGGTTACCTGCCTAGCATGTATGGTTTCTATGGGAAACCAGAGAAGGTTTGGAAATGCTTGTAGAAGGCGGACATGTTGGAAGTGACTACACTCCAGTTGGCGATGCGAATGCGTATCAGGTTGACCACAATACTCACAAAAAGCGGTCTGCGTCGAGTCCCACAATGACTTTACTGTATTCGTCTGATATCCACCTGTAAGATTAAGACTAATCAATTTACGAGTTTGGTCTGACAGCTTGCGATTGATTTTATACTGGATGTATGGATCAAAAGGCGTATGCGTGACCCCTTTGCGATGCTGAATATGATCATATATATACATAAAAAGCCCAAGCCGACCTAAGCGCACGACGAATCTCATTTGGTGAGTTGGTACGAATGCATAATTGCTGACCATCTGGTAGCTCGAGCATGGCACTGAGCGTAGGTTTCCATTTGACTTTATCAAGATACTTACTTAAGGCTGCACATGGACCACATTTGGTGTCTTGATGAACGACATGATTCCACATGTCAGTGGCAAGATGAGTATGATAATGAAAAAGGCGACGAAAACAACAGAGCCGTGCTGATAACATATAACATGGGATCTTCCACTTTGGGATGATAGGATCAAGAGAGCCAACATGGAGGATGCATATTTATGTTTCCCTATTAGCACATCAGTATCTTGTCGACGTAATTTTACGAAGTGAGATTCACCAATAAATTGGCTCTCCGCTGCATAAAATGCAAGGGGCCAAATAGCCATCTGTATTTTCGAGGCTCTCTCATCAATAGATAGTGTTTTTACTAAGTGTTCCACGTATTCTATGTATAATATACCTCCTGACCCTCGCACTTTGGCTCAAGAAAAAGGTGGGCGTTATTGGCTGATTTCCTGTAAACATAGGTTATCAGCCGTATAGCCTTAGGCCCTTAGCTTTTGCTCCCTCGTCATTTGCAGCCATGGACTTAAGTCTGGATACGACAGCTCTCGCGAGGCTGGCTGCACCGTACTCAGGTGCGGATGGGCGGGAGAGCGCGGGTGGAAACCCCGCCGCTTTTCATTTGCCGTTGATGGATCCGGGAGTCTCGTCTACACCAGACGGAGGATCCAACATGTCAACTGATGGATGGGGAGCGGGTGGGAACACCGCGCCGATATACAATCAGGCCAATTTTTCATTTGTGCAAACACCTCCAGCAGTGGTCGCAGAGATGATGCGCCAGGCATCTCAAAATCAGCAACTTGAGGGGCAGCGAGCAGAACTAATGCTCGCAGCGCAAAGGCTCCGAGGGGAGGCTGATGAAGCTTTTTCCGAGAATGAAGAGATGAAGATCCAGGCGCGATCGTTTATCAATGCAGCCGAAGTTGGATATCAAACTCTACAAGAACAAGCTCAGAATCAGTTCATGGAAATGGCCATGAACCACCGTCAACAGATTGCTGGACTTGAAATGATGCAAAGTCAGAAAGTCTCTTTCCTCGAAATGAACTTGGCACAACAGCAACATGCATCCATGGACTTGCAAAGGCGGCTTACCGAAACGGAATCTATCCAGGCACAGCTCCTGAAGGAACTTCACGATTTGAAGGGACGGAAGGATGACGTGCCAGGCGTTTCGGAAGGAACTGCCGAAGTTCGTGATGCCATTCCGAAGCATGATGCACCGCTCTCAGGTTTGTCCCAAACTGATGATGTCAGATCTGTGAAGACTGCTGATCTGTTCGGTACTCCATCCATGAGGTCTCAACCCGCAGGCGTATTTTCCCCTAACGCTGCAGTTTTTCAACCAGTGAGTCCTTGGAACGATGGGTACGGGTCGTTAGCAGCCAATGCATTGTCAAGCAATCTGGGTAGAGGTGCGCCAGGTAATGGTGGCAGTGGACCACCTGGAGGGGGAGGAGGCAACCCTGGTGGAGGTCATCCATCGAGTGACCCTACCAATCCTGGACGTCCAGGCATTCCGCTCCTCAAGATTCCCAAATCGGGGGGTGGGCCACCTGGGCCTCCGGGAGGTGACAGCGATCCGGACGGAGGTGACGATTTTGACGATGATGACGATGAACTGACAGACAAGGCTCACATGAAGAAGCTCAAACAAGTATTGGGGGGAAAAAGTAGTACCACGAAGGAAGCTGACTATATCAAGATACCTTCGTTTCCACAACCTGAGAACTATCGCAACTGGAAAATCAGGGTGAGGGACGCGGTGAGGGCCGCATCTTCCAAGCCTGACAAAGCGTTCTCATGGATCAACAAGGTTTGGATTGAAGGTCAGACTATCGAAGGTCTGGCAAGTCCCGACGGGTTCACTACCCTTGATGCCAAGCTTCTCGCCGCACTGTCGTCCATCGCCACAGGTGAATTCGCGCGCAAGGTTTGAATGTGTCAAGGAGAAGGAGTCCCAGAAAGATCGTCCAGTACGGGGGAGACAGGTGTTACTCATGATGCATGAATACTTCAGCACAAATATCAAACATGGAGCCACCTATTCCCTCAGTGATCTGTTCAATGTGAGAATGAAGGGCGACAATCTCAAGACTTTCTTGACGAACTGGGATTCAGTCACAACCGGTGTCACTCATTTGCCTGAAACCACAGTCCTGGAAACTCTATTCTACCAACAAGTGAAGAATCACAGGGCAATCGCCCATGACATTGAGGAGTACCACTGGGCCGAAGAGGGAAGTTCAAAGCATTGCTATCAACTCCTGTATGACGCCGTTCGCAGACATCTCATGAGGGAAAGGCTAGAAGACAATCGGGGTCGGATTGCCGCTAGTGTTGGCCAAGATGTCCGCTCCTGCCGCCGACGCGCGCACACCATTC